GCCTCGACAATGTGCATAAAATACAATTTTAACTGCTTGTGTGTATTTTTTTTTTTTGCACATTGTATTACTGAAAATGCCATAGGCATCTGTATTCCCATCATAAATGTACGAGTTCTTTTGGCGTAATGGTTAGAGCTTCTCTACTATACACAAGGTGGTGGGTTTGAGTCTTTAAAATGATATTTTGAAACATTGTAAAAGTTGAGCCTTGAGTTCAAAATTGTGTTGACATCATGCAGTTTTTTCTTAGTCCAAAAAAAAAATCTTATTTTTAATATTCAATTTTTCCTGTCCTGCATATGCTGGGTCCTGTCACACCTTCAATTCTTGTATCCTGAATATACTAGACTCTGTCAGAGGTTTCCCATAGGTATAACAGGGCCAAGTATTCAAAACAGCAGAAACATTGACTAATAAAAGTAAGATGCAAACAATAAAATAGAATTGCTGCCAAATTATAAATGGCTTTCAGCAAACATCTAGAAATTAAAACATCAAAAGCCAGTTTGGATGGGCAAGGAAAGGAAAGTGGCATGTCAGTGCAGCAAGTCAGATAGAAACGTCTCATTTGCTGGCCGGATTATGTCCAGCATCATGTAGCGCTTTCCTCTTAAGCCATGCTGTCACTGGCCTGCCCCTTTAATTTATTGGTTTTCATGCTCCGCATCACATGTGGATATTACATAGGGTGGTCTGCATGCAAATACAACCTGCCTAGGAATACCCACTCCTCCAGACTAAGATCTAACCATCAAGGCATGTTGATATTTGCATAAATTCTCAGAAGAGCCAACCCACTGTTTACATTAGAACTGAAGACATTCGAGAGTAGTACTGAGGAAGGGTACTATAATTAATGTAATAATGAATTTTGAAGAAATATGTATCTTTGTTTAAAGTAAAACTATTGCTACATGACTTAGTTTTGTGTATCTGTACCTACAGTTTTTTTCTTAGTCCCCCTGAAAAGTCCCACAAATAACTGTTGAGCCTGCAGTGAAGCCCACCTAATGCAGCTTGCTGTAAAAGTGTGGCATTGATTCTGCACTGCACCTGAATTTAGAGCAGCATTGCTACTCTCATGTAGGCTGTATCTGCTTACACTAGAGTGGGATGAGAAAATGTTGGGGGAGCATGGCTTATAACATAGTCACTGCTGATTCACAAGCCTGAGACTCATCAATCAGCACTTGGCCATGCCCAGTGCTTTCTGGATTGACTATACTGTAAACAGGGCCGTCTTTAATACTGATTGGGCCCTGGGCAAACAATCTCTTGCCCCCCCCGGTCCTAACAGCAGCATACGGAAGAGGTGGGGGCAACACCAGTGGCGGACCTAAGGAACAAAGGGCCCTGGTGCAAAATACATTTTGCACCCCCCCAAAAAAAACCACAGCGCTCTCCTCCCGCAGCGCTCGGCCGGCTGTCACTTTCTCTCCTCCCCGCTGGGACATAGAGCAGCGCCTTAAAGCTGCCCCGCGATCGTACGATAATCGTAAGGTGTATGGGCAGTGTGCGACCGCATTTACTGTACAGTTTCACGATTTTCGTTAGGGATGTCCCGATACCGATGCAAGGCACTTTCGTAAGTACTTGTAAAAATGCCCCAATGCATAACGCCGATGCTTGTGCATCGGTGTTGAATTCGTATTGCCGGGCAAGCGATCGCAGGGGGCGTGGTGGAGCGGTGACGGGGGGAGTGGAGCGCTGAGAGAAGGGGGCATGGAGCTGTGACAGAGCCGGACACGTGGAGCTGTGACAGGCTATGTCGCCTCCCTCAGCCTCTGTTCACGGCCGCTGCTCGTTTCTGTCACAGGAGTTCTAGCACAGTGCTGTGCTAGAACTCCTGTGTTGGAGGTGACAGGGTCAATAAAGAGAACCTGTCACCTCCACATGCTATCACACAGGGGTTTATCCCCTGTGTGATAGCAATAAAGTAAAGTTAAAAAAATAATATAAAAAATAATATAATATAAAAAAGTAAAAAATAACTTTAAAAATTAAAAATGTAACTAAATAAAAATTTAAAAAAACAGCAACAGGCGTTAAAGTAAAAATAATAAAATAAATGGAAATCTAAATTTTTTACAAAGTAAATAAAAATTTGAAAAAAATGAAAACCAGCCCCGCTGCCCCCATCATCTGCATGCGAATAAACGTGGAGTGTTTTCAACCGCGATTGTGTGCAACCGCTCGGGCAGGGCGGTATTGCGGCGGGGAACCCTGCAATCTGCCAGGCACGACTGGGGTGCCATTAGAAAATAATGGCACTGGCCGGGCAATTCACGCCAATCAGATCGCACAGTTTCCCGCCGCAATACCACCAATATTAAAGTTCTTCATAATCATAAAGAAATTGGCCTAAAATCATTAGTCTATTGTTTTTTTTTAAATGTCACCTGTCCCTTTAGGAAAAAGTATCGGTAATTGGTATCGGCAAGTATGAGGGGAAGTACTTGTACTTGGTCTTGAAAAAGTGGTATCGGGAAACCCCTAATTTTCGTATAACGAGCACGCTAGAAAACCCAATTTTTGGCTGGTTGGTAGCGTGATTGCAAGACGAAAGCCGCACGACCTGAGGTGCGCAAGCGCACACTGCCTGCTCACCATTGCAATCATCTCAAAGCCCTCCCCTCAATGAGGAGGACTTGTGATGATCGCAAGTACGATCTGCATGTCCATGATGGGCAGGTCGTACGAAAGTTTTGCGATGGCTGTAAGGTGTATGGTCACCTTTACTTTGTTGCTAAAACTCTCCCACCGTGAGCGGCAGTGTCTAGGAGGGAAGAGTGTGTGAGACACAAATAATTTAAGGTAGTGTAGTGTAAAGCTAAGGGGTAAAAACAATTTTGGCATATCTATATTAAACAACCTTTTAAGACATTGATTTTCTTTTTAGTTCATTTAGAGGTGTTTATATAAAAATGTACACAATATGTGTAAAAAAGTTTTTAGTTTCTTTTTTTCAAAAGAATACACATGAAGTACAATGACGGTAAGATGTTTTGGAAAGCAGCAACTTTACCCAGAGATATGGGTGTGTCCATGTTTACGAAACGTCTTAAAGTTTACTTTAGTATTCTTATTTCAATAGTAAACAGACATGCCAATTATTATCATGGACTTTCTACCAGTTTCAAACTAGGAACTGTACCTGCTAGGGGGACCAGTCTTCCACAGGGATTAGCCTTTTGACAACATTATTTCTAGGATAATAGATGCACAGAGTCACAGCAGACCAGTACTAACTTTAGTCTTAATCCTTTATTTTAACTTTATTTCAATATAGAAACTGAACTACCAGATTCTGGGAGATTCCCACACTCCAGTTTCCACCAGTCACTGGTAAAGTGACACTAAACTCAGGCATTAAATCCTAAAAATACATTCAAGTACCCTTTAACTATTAACAAAAATGTATCTTATTTTTGTATTACTCGGCTGAAGATCCTCAAATCATTTCTGAATTGGTGCTGACACTGTCCTTCCTTCTGGAGGGTGGCTACTTTTGTTCCCCATGGTCCCTGTGTGTGTTGTAAAGTAGCCACCGCTCCATGCTCACTCATGTGATAGACTATAATTTCACGTTTAGTTTACTCATTTGTAGTGAGATTGTAGTCTATCATGGCAGCGAACTTGGGGCGTTGGCTACTTTACAACACACACAGGGATCATGGGGAACAAAAGGACAGTGTCAGCATAAATTCGGAGATGATTTGAGGATCTACAGCCGAGTGATACGTAATCAATTGAATGCATTTTTAAGGTTTAACTGCTGAGTGTAGTGCCACTTTAAATAGTTTATTGATTCAATAGAAATAAGTAATAATGTATACACTCTGGATAATTAAAGTAATTATAATAGAGTAGAAAGCTGACTGAGTGAGTCTTCCAGACTTTAGGTTTATATTATATTAAGGAAACTCTGCTATACTATGGAGCCAGAGACTGAGTTTTTTAATGTAGTCCAGAGGCTACTCAGGGCCGTATTTAATGCAGGGCAAAAAGAGCAACTGCCCTGGGCCCCATAATTTACAGCAGCTGTCCCTTTTGCCTGGAGCCATAAGCAGGAGAGCAGTGGCACCACTGGTGGAAGGGGGACTCAGAGGCGGAGGTACCTGAGGCTGGGGGGCCCAGTGAGATTCGGTCCCGGAACCCCTATCATTAGAGGAGACATATCACTTTAAAGATTCAGCTGCCGTAAGGTCCCGCACTTCCTGGGGGCCTTGAGGCAGCCTTCTGGGGAACCACAGTGGCGCCTGTTTACACTGCCGACCCACACATCAGCCTTGTTGCGATCTGCCACATCTGCCCTTGCCTACACAGGGTACAAAAGTCACCCTGATACTGACTGCGATCTGCCCCTGCCTGCTGCGATCTGACCCTGCTGAGACCCTCTACCCCTGCTGACATCTGCCACATATGCCCCTGCTGAGACACTATGCCTGAGACATCAGGCTGGCTACCTGGAGCAGAGCGGCAGCACAGAATATGTAGCAAATTCATATACTATTCTGTATTTCTATATAAAGTATTGCTGAGATTTGTAGACCTCTATAGCTGATGCCATTCTGCATTGCTCTATAATATTTTGCTGGGATTTGTAGTCCTCTATAGCTGGTGGTATTCTGCATTACTGTATAATGTATTGCTGAGATTTGTAGTCCTGATCAGCGTGTTTTTGGGGCGTTTTTTAATTGCGTTTCAGTGCTAAAATGCAATTTAAAACGCCCCAAAAACACCCTTTCAAAAATTACTTGGAAACCACGCTGAAACGCTGCCGCCCTGGTGTGAATGGGGCCTAAGTGTGAGATAAAAGCATGATGAAAAAATGCATATTGCGGGTCGGTGCATTTGAAAAGCTTGCAGTAGCTCACACCATAAACGCCCATTACTGCATTCACCTAGGCGTGAAGAGGCCCCCAAGTACAAGTTGATATTATGGGTGTAAACAGTTTAATATTTATATAACAATTGCAATTTGTTTACTTGTACAGGTACCAGAGATCATTTGAATCTGAGCCAACTCTTCAGTCTGGAATTAATTATGCAGTCCTTCTCCTTGCAGCTGGGCATCAGTTTGATTCATCATTTGAACTTCGCAAAATAGGTAATGTTGTCAGTTTATTTTGTATATTTTAAATACTATTATAAAGTAAACACAATGGATCTGATTTATGAAGACTAGATCTCTAGAGACATACAGCCGTTACTGGCAACAATTTATCCAAATTGTAGCTTTCAGTGGACCTTGGAGCAAGCGTTTTCTTTGCCCATGCAAGGCAAAGCACCAGGTTTGCTTTAACGCCACCCACCCCATGAATATATACCTTTTCCTTTCCTCCCCCACAGCTCTATTCAGCCACCAAAAGCAAAGTAAATACTTAATTATTAGTTAATTACTTAATAGTTATGGAGAAGTAGGTGACTTACTCACTTTACTCTCATGTGACAGTGCATGTGCCTGGTGACTGGTCTAATGCTATCACATGGGGGTGTGAAGACGCCTCAGCCCTATGTATGCTCTGACTAAAGCTTACCCAGGGCTTCCTTTCCTCACTCCTGGCACTGCATATGCTAAAGAAGGGGGCGGG